CCCTCTCCTCTCCCTGTGCCAACTCTATCCCTACCTCTCATTGACCTCCTGCTGTGGATCTGCCTCCTCACCATTGCCCCTCCCTCCCTGTCCCCCTCTACTTTTCTCCTCTGTTTGCCTACCCTCCCTCCTTCTCACAGAGACCCTCTCAGGCCGGGGGTCCCCAGGGGACTATGAGGAGATGATGCAGATCGAGTGTGAGGTCATGGACACCAGGGTGATTCACATCAAGACCTCCACGGTGCCCCCCTCACTCCGAAAACAGCCAGCCTCCACCCCGGGCAATTCCACAGGTGGCCCCTTGCCAGCTTCTGCAGCCGGCCAGGCCCGTCAGGCCTCCCACCAGCCTCTCTACCTCAATCACCCCTGACCTCTGCAACTCACACTGACTTAGAGCTGGGGGGTGGTGGGAGGTGGGGGCAACCAAGTGGGGTTTTCCAAGTTCTCTGATCTGGGCTTGGGGCAATTGGTAAAGGAAAGACAGGGTGTGGGGTTAAGCACTTATTTGGAGATGAGTGGGTTCACCTCTCCTCTTACCCCCTTTTAGGAATATAGGGCTCCTCTCATTTCTCAGAACCCCTAATTCCTGCTTCTCTGTTTGAGGGTATTGAGTAAGGTGAAGTTTGGGGGTGGGTGGCCGCCTACACACTCTTTATTCTTTTGTTTCTCTATTTTGGGGAGGGTGGTAGAGGTGGGAATTAAGTCCCCAGGAGGGACGAGGGACATTTTTACATTTTGGAGCTAGTCACTGGGAGTAAAGGAGGGGTGGTGGTGGGAGATCAAGTTTATGAATATGTACTATCTTCTTTTTATTATTAAATAAACAACTTGGAGGGAGTTGAAGGATTGGTGGCTGCCTTTCTGGCTCATGACAGAGAATTTGGGGAAATTGGCTTCCGTAGGGCCAGTGTATCAGAGAACCAAGCACTGAAGACATAGCTGGCTCTGGGGTGGGGGCGGGGATGGGATCCCAGACCTCATGTCATCCCCTTGTCCCCGCCCCTACAACTCTGGGGTATGTCTGTGTCTAATGGGGGGATGAGGGTGGGATGTCTCATGGCATGACAGCCCCGAGGATACAGATCCCTGGAATGTGTCTGAGTAAACAGGAAGGACAGAGGGCCCTACGCCCTTTGGGGTGAGCAGCCTCCCTGGGTCCCCTGCATTCTAGCAGGTTCTCCCTCCCTCCCCTTGATTTCCAGGACAAGCAGCTTGAACAAACAGCAGAGCTGGGGCCAGAGGGCTATAAGCCAGAAAGGAGGGGCCACAGTGGAGAAGGGGGTGGTGTTTGGAGGGAAGCGGGCATGTTGAAGAGCATCTTCTCGGCCCTAAACTGGAGGACACTGAGACTTGAGAGTCCCGTTGAAAGAAAAGGATGAGAACAGATCCGGCAGGAAAGGCTGTGTTTCTGATTAGGAGGAAGGGGGACAGGACAGAGGGTGAGGGGCCAAACCTTACTCTACCTTGGGGGGATCCCGTCAGTGGCTCCTGTCCAGCAGTGCCTCAGGCCTGGCTCTGCAGGAGTGTCCTGGGTCAGCTAGAGGGTGTGGGCTGGGCCTGGGCTCAGTGCCCAGATGACTGGACAGGGGCCGCCCGGGCCACAAGCCCAGGCCTGAAGGAGGAGGGGAGAACCTCACGTGTCCAGCCAGGCTCCCCCACTCCCCATTACTCTGTTTGGGGTGAAAACAGACTGAGTAACTATGGCAACCTGGAACTAGGGCTCCCAGGAACTAGGCCTCTCCTCCCTCCGGAGCTCAGCCCTGGCTTCTGGGCCTTCCTGTCTCCACGTCCCTCGAGCCTCACCGAGGCAGTGAGCGCAAGGCCGAGGACTGGGGAGGCAAATCACCTGAGCTGGATTCTCTGCTTTACCTTTCATTAGTGGATGTCCTTGATGTGTAACTCATACACTCTGGGTCTGAGATTCCTCACCAGTAGCATCAAATACTCCTGCATTCTTCTCAGGGTGTGTGTGGGGGTGAAAGAGGTCCACAGTGCCTGGTTCATGAAAGGCACACCTGTCCCTTGTCCCTTCCACCTGTCTACATTGCCCTTTTCTCCTCTTACTCCACTCTTACCCAGCTGGCTTCATCACTGCCCCGCCTTGCCATCACTCCCCCTGTCTCGATGGCAGTGCAGGGAAGTGCCTGAGGGCTGTCTCTGGCTGGGGGCCCTGGGGTGGGGCCTGCTGTACCCCCACACCAAATGACAAGGGACCACTGGCACTGATGTGAACTGGCAGTCGACTGTTGGCTGAGTTAGTGGAATGGGGAAAGGCGTGGGAGGGGCATGGAGCCAGGGGGTGCGAGGTGGGAGGGTGAAAGCAGGTCAGTGTCTGGCCGCTGCATTCAGCCCACGCAGATCCCAGGCCACAGCCCTATCCAAGGCCACCAGCCCTCATCAGTTTGTGGCCATGGTCACTCCTGCACCTCCTGTTGTCCCCTCCTGTCCCAGGCCCACTCTTTCTGTTGAGCTGCTTTCCTGCCTCAGGATCTGGCCTTTTGTTCCTCTTATCACTCCTAACCCATAGACCTATCACCTCTCCCACTTTGCTCTAGATTCCTCTCCCACTTCTCTTTGCCCTCCTTCTGGCCAGGAGTCCTCACCTTGTCTTTTGGACTCTAGTCTGTTCCTCGCTCCTTTTGTGTTTTGCCCTTCCTCCCCACTGCTTCACTCTCTTTTCCGTTTATTTTTTCTTGTTCTTCTCATCTCCTGCTGTTGACCCTGTGCTCAACTCCTCCCACTTCATGCCACCCCCTCCCCAGTTCCCTTTGCACTCCTTTGTCCACATTCCTGGTCCAGGACTTCCTCTCTTCTCCCCCGCTTTGGCCCTCTCCCTCTCCCTCCCTCTTCCCCACTCCAATCGCCTGTCCTCTTCCCAGCTGTGGGGGCCAGGACTGGAGAGCCTAATGTTTGCCTCATCGTTCTGCTATGGCTTCTGGATACAGCACATCTGGATTCCGGGGCCCAGATGTGTGGTTGCCACAGCGACCTCCGTCCCTCTGGTAAATATAGGCGCCCACCCGCCCCAGAACAGAGAACAAAACAATTGTGTGACTTTCTTTGTCACGAGATAGCAATGTCCTCCCTCCTCCCTTCTCCCCACACCCGTGTCTCCAGGCAATGGAAGTCTGAGGGGTCCAAACCCTTCCTTATGTGGCTCTGTTGCCCCCTTTCCAGTCCTAGCCTCTTGGTTCTCTTCCATCTCTCATCTCAGGCTGTCTCTTCTCTCCGAGTCCCCCCTCCCCACCATCTCCTTGGTAGTGGAATGTTGAGTCCCCCAGCTTAGACTTGGTGATTTCTTCTTACTTAATCTGCATAATAACTGGATACAGAAAAATGTTTGAAAGAGCCAGATCTTCTACCCTTCCTTCTCAAACAAGTTCTCCAAGGAGCCCTTTCATTCGTTTCTGCCCTAAGTCTTCCATCTTTCCAAGGCTGTTCCTGGGGGAGGAGAGAGTATAGGCTTTGGAATCAGAAAGCCTGAGTAGAGGCCCACCTTCTCACCACCACTAGAAAAGTCCCTTGGACAGGTCACCTGATGCCTGTGATCCCCCATTTCCTCAGCCACAAAGTGGGATTAATCACATGCCTGCTCTCTGTTGGAAAGTGTTTTGTCAACGGAAGCCCAGTACAACTGTTTTCTCTCTTCTCCGCTCTGGGACTGCTCCCTTGGATCACAGCCCCTGGCCTCTCCTTGTTCCTTCTCTTTTCCTTCAGGTCCTTGCCCTTAATTGCCCTCATTCTTCTTTCTGTTCCTTCCCTTCTCCTTGTCTTTCCCTTTCCTTCCCATCTATACCTTTTATCCTGGATCCTCCTGAGGTGAGGAAAGGAACAAGGAGGTTCATTCGAGGATGGAAGCCCAGAACCGAAGACAGCTGGACTGAGGATTCTGAGACCAGCCAGAGCACGTGGACAGCTGTCAGCAACCCTGACCTATCTACCCATCACCTGAAACACCTGAGTGAAGGCCACCGGCTCTGCCCACTAGGCCTCCCTGCCTCCACGCCTGGGGCTCCTTCCAGACTCCCTTTCTGCATCCTCCTCACCCAGTCCTCTCACAGTTCGATAGTGATAAGCGTTTATTAGGCATCTGTGCTAGATCTGGTGATTTCCTGACAAGATGCAAACATATGTAAGATGGGAGCTTCTCCAAGAGCCTAAATCAAGGGTCTGAATCAAATTTTAGACAATGATGACCTCGGAACCTCAAATTATGTCTGTTAAGCTTCCAGTGGCTTCCTCAAGTGCCTTGTAACCTTGTAAATGTTTGCAATCCCACTCTCTTCTCTGAGAGTCTGTTATCCCTTCTGTCCCTTGCCGTGGACTTCCAAAACACCCCATGGCCATCCTTAGAGCTCTCACATCTCCAGGGTCCCCTGGCCACTCTGCGGGCCAAGTGTATTTATGGTGGCCATACTTAGTAAATAATAAAACCAAGATTAAGGCATGGGGCAAACAACAGATAGGACTGTGGGACATAATTACTGAAATCTAGGGATTTAAGATGAAATACATCCTATGTGCAGTCTGCTCTCCCTAAGAGATGCTGTTTCAGACCCTCTGTCACCCTTTCATGTGCTTTCCCCTCCCCACCCCACCCCACCCCCAGGATCAGAGGGAAGTTGTTACCTACTCCAGGCCCTGGGGGCTTTGGGCCAAGGCAGAGGAAGGAAGCTGAGCCCAGTTCCGTCCAAGATGCTGACTTCATCCTCCCCATCAAAGCCAGGAAAAAAACAGCCACACACACACCCAGACACACGGGGACACCCATGCGAGGGTGTATGTAAGCCTTTGCCCTCCGCCTCAGGTTGCTAACTGAGCGCATGGCCGCCACACGCTGTGCCAGTGTGCCCTGACCCTGGAACAACATGGCCCCGCAACCAGGGGGATCCAGTCTAGGGCACAGACACCTGTATCCAACTCTCGTGGCAGACTCAGACACAGTTTCCTTCACGTCCCTTTCCCCATCACCTATGACAGGGCCAAGCCCTTCCCCAATGGTAAGGTTTGTAGCGGGGTAGCAAGGACTCTCCTCGTGAAACCTTGGGTGGGGATTCCTCAACCTGGGTATTTCCCTTCTGTGGCAAAAGTCTCTTCAGCCCCTGGTCAGGGTAGTGAGCAACCAAGGGAAATGGGGCCAGAGAAACAGCCAGCGTCCTTACATGTTGGTGTGCCTGCTGCCCTGTCCTCTGGTGTCAGTCTTCTTATCTCTGCCTGAGGTCAAAGTGCTTTCTTCCTCCAGCCCCTAATTCTCCTTCCCACTGCTGCTCCCCTGCAGGACCCAGACATTGACCCCATTCCTCTGACTTCACCCTGCCATTCATATCCCCATCCCCATATCTGCCTCTCACTTCTAGCTCTCTCCATCCCTAAGCCTCTCTCCTAAACCTCCTTCCTAACTTTCCGGCTTCCCTTCCCTGTCTCCCCTGAACCCCAACTTCCTTCCCAAGTCTTGTATATCCTGGTATTCAGCAAAGCCCTTGCCTAGCCAGTACCCAAGCCTCATCTGCCATTTCTCTGGAATTTGCTGAGGTGTGAGAATGAAAAGGGGGCAGTGATCCCAAGCTGAGAACCGGCAGTGGACTGAGCAGAACAGATGGGGAGAGGCAATGCCTCTCAATGGGGACAGGGCAAATAGAAATAGAAGAGAGAAGGCTCAGGTGGGAACAATGGGACCAGGCAGGGATAGGTGGGGACAAGGAGTTCCAGAGAAGGCCGACGTTGGGGAGGGATTTGGGCTTGGGAAGGAGGTTTCCTTCCCCACCCCATCCCCCACTCTCTGCTCCGCATTGCTAGGAGAGAATGGCAGGAAGAGAAAGAGCGGGTGCTGGGCAACAGGCAGGTGGGGCAAGATCCAAGCTGGAGCGAAGTGGTGGGAGAGGAGGTGCCAGGGAAGGAGGAGGGAGAGGGGCTGGCCATGGGCAAGGGTGTTGTTCGAGAGGAGAATTTGGTGAGAGAGCAGGAGCATCAGGTAGGGAAACGGTGAGGGGAAAGGAGAAATGGCATAAGGATGGGGGATGTCAAGTTGGGCAAACATTGGGATGGGAGGAAGAGTACAAATGGGACAGGGAAAGGATGTGGGAGGTAGGACCAGGGATTGGGGGGCAAGACGAAGGTATTGTGGGACTCAGTGATCCCAGACAGGGAGGAGAGGAGGGGTGGCATGCGATGACGTTGGGAGGGCCTGGCAGGGACTAGAGGGGTGGGAGGACCTGCCCTATCTCCGCTCCCCTCCCTGACCTCATGCTGGTCCTCCCCTTCTCCTCCCCCTGCTCGCTGCAGGCTCCCTCCTTCTTGCTGTCGCTGCTGAGATCGACGGTTGGGTCGCAGCTCAGTGAGCCCCTGCTGCAGGAAACAAGCAAGGGGACCTCCAGGGAGCTCAGGCTGCCGAGGCACGATAGCCCTGCTCTATCTTGAAAACTCCCTTCCCAAGTTCAGGAACAGAGCAGGTGCAGAGGCACTGCAGTCGCCTGTTGCCCAGGTAAGGAACAGAGCTCTGGGAAGAACAAGGAAAGATCTGGGAGCAACGGGGGCTCTATCCTATCCCTACCCCAGCAGAGGTGTAGCGGGCGAGCTCGCAGGAGAGCCTCACAGAGCAGACTTTCTGTTAGGACAGAGGAAATGGGACCTTGCACTGGGGACTAGACTCTCTCCGGAGGGTGTGTCTGGAGGGATGGGTCAGCATGTGGTGTGTGTGGGGGAGACGGGTGTGCGCACATGGAGTGGGGGCTGTGGGTGCCAGGGTTTGGACAGGATCAGTGGGTGGCAGCAGGGTGGAGGTTGTTATCAGGAGGTAGGACTCAGCCGTGGTCAGATGGGGGGAAAACCCCGGGCTAGAGGCTGAGCTAGGGGACAGCTGAAGCTCAGGAGGAAAGTGCTGGTGGAACCCCAAGTGCTCTGGTTGGAGCGGCTGAGCTAGAGCTCCAGGAAGGTGCCAGAGGGAGCCTCTCAGCATGTGGGTTGCAAGGTCTGGGAGGGAGGACTGGGGGTCTTAAGCCTTTAGGAAATGTTGAAATGGAGCAGAGTCAGGATTCCCAGGTCTGGGAAGGGCACAGAGCCTGCGGGGAAGATCCTAAAACTTGTTCTTGGCTGAGAGCTCTGCACCCATGACTCACGGTTCAGCGAGGTTGGGCTGACTGAGAGATGCCTCCAGGGGCACAGGGGCTCCGTCTTCCTTCCGTCCCCGTCCCCGTTCCAGGCTCTCCCTGCTTCTGTCCGTCTAAACCCACCCCCCGCCACTACACGTGACACGCCCTGGGTGGGGTGGGCGGGCCCCTTATCTCGCCTGGAAAGAATTTAATGACTTGGAAAGAACTGGAAATGGAACTGAGAGGAACTACTGGGAAGCAAATCGGAAACACCGCAGCTGCCGGCTGTCCGCTGTCCGCTTCCAGACCCCGCCCGCTTCCCCACATCCCTGGCTCCCTCCTCCCCCCTCCTCTCTCTCTCTCCCTGCCTCCGCTCCCTTGGGGACCTGGCACCTCAGTTCCTCAAACTCCCTTTCCTTTGAGTCCTGATCACCCAGTGCAGCACCAGAACCTGCCTTGCTGTCCCTCATTGCCCCCTTAACTCTTCCACTGGGGGCCCAGAAATCCTTTTACTTTTTCCATTCCTCTGGCCCATTAGCTCCCCAGAATAAGGGACATCTGGATCCCCCAAATCTCTCCTTGGCACCTCCTTACCTCCTGGTTCCAGCCCAATATGTGGAACCCTCCCTCATCTCCCTCCTTCCTCTCATGGTCCTGGAATCCTTCTAATTTCAAACCTTATGTGGCAGGAGGGGCAGAGGGAGGCAGAGGGGTGGGGCCCAAATCCCCCAGCTCTGGAACATCCCTCATGGAAGCCAGCCCTTCTCCACACCTCTTGGGACCAACAGTCCCTGATGAGCGAAGTGTCAAAGTTGGCCACCACATGAATACCAGGCAAGCTGAGTCACAGCTGGGATGATGCCCCCACCTCTGCCAGCCCTCCAAGTGTGGGGACAATGCCAAGGGTGTGAGGCCACATCCCCCCTCCCCACCGCAGAAAGGAGCCCCAGACAGCTGTAGGGAGGTGATAAGGGGGAGATACAAGAGACATCCAAGTTCTTTCCTTTCCTAGTGCTGAGAGAAGAGGGGAATTCTTCCAAGAGTTGGAAGTGCGAAGCTGGAGGGGTGGCTGTGACAGGGCAGGAGGGGGGATGGGGAGGGAGACTCTGGGTCATGAACTATGGAGGCTACTCCTCTCCTCTCAGAACTGCCTCACTACTTTTGCAATTCTCTCCGTCCTGTTACAAAGACTCTCTTCCCCTCTGCCCCAACCTCGGGTAAGATGCAGGATCCAATGGCCAGGGTGGGTTCCAGACAACTCGCAAAGACCCCCGGGGCTGTGGGGCTCCAGGAATCTTCTGCTTCCCCCGGGGGAAGGGCTTCCTGTTTGGTTCTCCTCACTCCACCTATGTTCTCTGACTCACACACTGCCCTCTGAGAACCATGAGAAATTGACTTTCTTAGGCATCACCCTATGAATGCATGTGGAGGAAACACGAAGAGGAGATTGTGTGTGTGTGTGTGTGTGTGTGTGTGCATGAGTGCGCACCTCCACACACACGTGTGCCTGCAAATTGCAGGCTAATTTGGATGGATGTGTGTATCTGTGTACCAGTGTGTTCATATTTGTATTTGTGGATGAGCGCACACTTGGGTGTACTTGTATATGTCCATGTATTTGTGTGTGCACACACCCCTTGGTTTGCATGGCCTTAGACACAGCGTGAAAGTTTTTGAGGGTACCTCAGAGCTCACCTTGTACCCAAGGCTACACTCCAAGCTGACGGGCTGAGGGGCCCAGGGATAGAGTACTGCCTGCCTGCCAGACCTTTCTCCCTGGGCTTCTCCGGCCTCTTAGTGCGGAAATGCTCTTTCCCTGGCATCCAGCTTTCCTTCCGTCTCTCCTGGGCTGGTGGCTGTGTGATGGATGGCTGGTCGCCCTGAAACTCTTTTTTCTCAGACTCAGAGGAGAAGTTTCAGAGTAGCAAGCCAGGAAGTGTGTGTGTGTGTGTGTGTGTGTGTGTGTGTGTGTGTGTTGGGTATCGTCCCTTCCCTCCTCACCAGTCAGTGTTTCCACACTTGCCCTGCCTTCCTCTCTCTGCCTCTCTGGTCCCAAAGAACTGGGCAACCACCCACACCTCTGCTTAGCCCTTCACCCCAACTGAACCCTCCACATTCCACTGCTCACCACAGCCCCCTGTCCTGGCTCACCCTGAACATGTTTCTAACCCTCGTCTCCCTATGCTCTCCAATCCTTGCCCCAAGGGGTCCCACGAACAAACACAGCTGGGCACCAGCCCCCAGATCAAGAAATAGGATATTTAGTACCTCAGAATTTCCCTGCCCCGCTCTGCCCCTGCTGTCACTACTCCTCCAAGAGCACCACACTTCTGACCTGTGACAGTACAGATTAACGTCATTTCTCCTCAGATTTCATATGCATAGAATTTTTTAAAAGATTGTATTTGTTTATTTCAGGGAGGGAGAGAGAGAGAGCAAGCATGAGTGGGGGAGGGGGAGAGGAAGAACCAGACCCCCCTGCTTAGTTTGTTGGGTTTGTTCCCATTGCCTTATTTTATTTTGCTGTATGAATAAGCCACACTTCATTTCATCTATTACACTGATGTGAGATATTTGGGTGGTTCCCAGACTGGGGCTATTAAGAGTAGTACTGCTATGGTGGGTGTATTGCTGAGGGTGGGATTGGTGGATCCGAGTGTTAGCATATAGCTCTGGTAGATTTGGGGGGATCATGCTCAACACTTTCCCAAAGTGCTTGTTCTATCTGGCCCTGCCAGAATCCACACCCAGCTTTCTCACTAGCCTGGCTTCTGCCTGAGCTGCTGCTGCCTGAGCTGCTCTTTCTGTCTAGCTTCCTGTCCCAGACACTGTCCGTGGTCCTAGCCCTGACCTTGGTCCTGTTCTTATTTCCGGCCCTGTTGCTAGTCCTCAGCTTAAATTAAACTTTTCATTCACTTATATGGTCAGTATTTATCAAGCACCTAATGCATGCTAGATGCAAGGATATGACAGCCAAGAAAAAAATCGAGTGCCATGCCTGCCCTCATGGACCTTACAGTCTAGTGCATAAGATTGAGTATGGGCAAGAAAGCATTAAAATAATCCCACCAATAAATATATAAGTATAAATTGTTATAATGCTACAAGTGGGAGTTACATGACTCTTTTTAAAAAATCAGTCCTGTTACAGGGCTCTTTGATATAACATGTTGGGGGACCTGGGCAGGAAAGATTCCCTGAAGAAGCAATGTGAGGCTGAGATAGAAGAGAAGAGGAGGCCATGAGGAAAGGGAAGAGCGTTTCACACAGAGGGAGCACTATATACAAAAGCCTAGGATTGGGAAGGGCGTGAGAGATGTAAGGTCCATGGGACTGGAGTGGAGAGAGGGAAGGAAGTATTGTGGGAGATGAGGTGGGAGAGGTCAGCAGGGGCCAGATGATGTAGGACTGTTTGTCAGTGTTTGAAGGGGATTTAGAAGGGAGACACTGGAGAGTTTTTAGGGGGAGTGGGACATCCTAGTTGCCTTTATGAGAATGTCAGGGGCAAGAGTAGAAGCAGAGGGACAAGCTAGGAGGCAAATGCAGTTGTGAAGCAAAAGCTAGGTGATGGCTTGAATTCTAACTCAAAGAGAGAAAGAGAAATAGGGAAATTAAAGAGATGTTTATGAGAAAGTAAGGGAAATATCACAAAATATGGTGGCATTGATGGGGGTTAGGTTCCTAGGTTGTAATGCTGGATGAATGGTGGGGCCGTGAGCTGCAGTGGAGAACACAGTGGAGGAGGGAAGGGGTACAGGAAGGGTGACCATGAGTTCATTTTCAGGCATGTTGAATTTGAGGTGCCCAAGAAGAGTTGCCAAGTAGGTAGTTGTATACATCACTTGGAGTTAAGAGGAGATGACCAGGCTAGTTTATAAATTGGGATATAGTTTGGAAATTAAAATCCTGGGTCTGGGTGAAAGCACCTAGGTGAGTGACTAGAAAAGTAGGTCTCGACTTTAGCTGCACTTTACAATCTCCTGGGGTGCTTTTAAAAAATACTGGGTACAATTCAGTGCTTCCGTTACTCTAGGCACATTTCAGGTGTTTGAGATCCACATAGCCCTCCTCCTGGCTACTGCACTGACAGCCGAATAGAAAAGGCTGTGAAATGGAAGATGTAGTCAGCGGTATCCAGCGATTTTTGAGTCAGGTTAAGGAAGATGAAGACAAATGTCTCTCAGATTTTCTGACACTGAAATCTTTGGGCAAGCTTAGGGAGAGCTGTCTGATAGGTTGAAAGGAGTTGGGGAAGCCAGATGAGAGAGCACTGAGGTATGCATGGGATGGGATATGGGGAATTGAAACAGTGAGTACAGATAAATCTTTGACAACTGAAGCCATGAAGTAGAGGAGGGAAATATGTGCTGGCTGGAGGGAGTATGAGATTGGGGAAGGTTTTGGTTGTTGCTGTTCAGGGAGAAAGCAAGAGAGAGAGCATGAGCACATGTGTGTGCATGAGGGAGGGGGGAGGGGCAGAGGGAGAGAGAGAATCTCCAGCAGACCCGAAGCGGGTTTCGATCTCATAACCCTGAGATCATGACCTGAACTGAAATCAGGAGTTGGGTGCCTAACTGACTGAGCCGCCAGGTGCCCTGTTGTTGTTTTTTTAAGATAATACTTTCATATTATGAAATACACAAATCTAAAGTATATAGCTCAATTAATCTTTAAATATGTATACATCTGTTTAACCACCACCCAGATCAAAGTGCAAAATATTTCTAGTGATCCTGTCTTCGAATAGTAAAGATTAACTGCCTGTTTTTGCACTTCATGTAAATACCATCATTCACAAAGTTCTCTTTTTGCATCTGGTTTCGTTTGCTAGCATTGCGTATATGAAATCGTCTGTTATTACATGTAGCAAGAGGTTGTTTTCATTACTGTGTTTCATTGTGTGATCATGCCACAATTTATCTGTTCTACTATTCATAAAACTTGTTTCACTTGGCTAATATGAAAAAAAAAATCTCATGAACATTCTTGTACATATCTTTGGAGAATATATGCAGTCATTTCTGTTGGATAATTACCAAGAAGTGGAATTGCTGGGTTATGGAATTGCTTTGTAGATACTGCCTAACAGTTTTCCAAAGAGGTTACACTAATTTATGTTCCTGCTTGCAATTTAGGAGAGTTCCAGTTGCTTCACATTCTTGCCAATATCAAGCAATACCATCTTTAATTTTAGCCATTCTAATGACGATATAATGGCATCTTGTTATGGTTTTAATTTGCATTTCCCTGGTTACTAGTTTTGTCATACACCTATATATGTTTGTTTTCCGTATGTTTATTGGTCCTTTGAATATATTCTTTCCTAGAGTAACTGTTTAAGACTTTTGTCAATTTAAAACACTGGGTTGCCTGTCTTTTTTTTTTTTTTTTAAGATTTTATTTATTTGACAGAGAGAGAGACAGTGAAAGAGGGAACACAAGTAGGGGCACAAGGAGAGGGAGAAGAAGGCTTCCGGCTGAGCATGGAGCAGGGCGCCAGGGCTAGATGGCAGAACGCTGGGATCATGACCTGAGCTCAGGTCAGATGCTTAATGACTGAGCCACCCAGGCACCCCTGAGCTGCCTGTCTTGTTTTTGTTGTTGTTGTTGTTTTTTAATTTTATTTATTTTTAAAATTTCTTTTCAGTGTTCCAGAGTTCATTGTTTATGCACCACACCCAGAGCTCCTTGCAATACGTGCCCTCCATAATACCCACCACCAGGCTTACCCAACCTCCCACCCCCATCCCCCAAAACCCTCAGATTGTTTTTCAGAGTCCATGGTCTCTCATGGTTCGTCTCCCCCTCCAATTTCTCCCAACTCCCTTCTCCTCTTGCCTGTCTTGTTTTTGTTTGTTGTTTTGTTTTGCAGGGGTTACTTATTTTAGATTTTGATCCTCTCTCTCACTCTCAGTCAATATCTATCTCTATCTCTCTCTCCCTACCTCCCGGCATTTCTCATACATCTTATCCCAGGTATGACTTGTATTCTTATTCTCTAAGTGGTGTCTCTAGATGACCAGAAGTGATCAATTTAATGAATCCTAATGTATCCATCTCTTTTTTATGGTTAAGTTTTGTGTAAAATCTTTCATGGTTAAATTTTATGTGGTTATGTTTTAAGAAATATTTGCTTACTCTAAGGTTGTAAAAATATCTCCTATTTTTCTTCTATATGATATTTTTCTGAAAGGTATTGCTTGGCCTTTCATAACTAGGTCCATTAGATTCACTTCAAATCAATTTCTATATGTGGACATAAGGCAGGAATAATTTTTTTTTTCATTTGGATCTTTCCTCATTTATCAAAAAGAGCATCCGTTTTCTTTTCTTTCTTTTTTTTTTTTTAGTTTTATAGTAAGTTGTTTTTTTTGTAATTTCATTAACAGATAATGTATTATTTGCTTCAGGGGTACAGGTCTGCGAATCATCAGTCTTACATAATTCACATCACTCACCATAGCACATACCCTCCCCAATGTCCATAACCCAGCCACCCTACCCCTCCCATCCCCCACCCCTCCAGCAACCCTCAGTTTGTTTCCTGAGATTAAGAGTCTCTCATGGTTTGTCTCCCTCCCTGGTCCCATCTTGTTTCATTTTTTCCCTCCCTACCCCCCACAACACCCTGTCCTGCCTCTCAAATTTTTCATATCAGAGAGATCATATGATAATTGTCTTTCTCTGATTGACTTATTTCGCTTAGCATAATACCCTCTATTCCATCCACGTTGTTGCAAGCATCCATTCTCTTTTTAGTTGCAGTGCCACCTTTGTCATTTTATCAGGTGACCACACATGTGTGGGTCTATATCTGGACACTATTCTATTCTATTTATCTATCCTTGCACCTTTATCAGTTTCGATATTTGGTAATGTAAGCACTGAGGAAGAAGGATTTTCCCAAACAACAGGAGACACTTGAGCTCCTATAAAAGCTGACAGAAGGATTTAGTGGAGAGTAAGGGATTGAATAAAAGAGAGAGAGAGGATAGTCTTCACCTAAGAAGCCAGTAGGAGCTAGATGGCAGGTGCTTGCGGAAGGATTGGCCTTGTACACTCATCTGCTAATCCGTTCAACAAGAAGGTGTTGGGCAGCCCCTGTGTGTCAGACACGGGCATACAGCAGTGCCAGGACAAACGAGGTCCCTGTTCTCACATTGGTAGCGGGAGAAAGAGAATAGACAAGGACCCACAGGAACAGGTGATTCACGCAACAGTAAATGCCATGAAGAACATGGGCAGGATACTGCCACAGAGTAATGGAAGCCCATTCCCAGTGGGCACCAGGGAAGGTCTTGGGATGTAAGACATGTGAGGTCGCATTTAAACCAAGACGGAGCCAGTCATGAAGAGCATCCCAGACAGAACATACAGCTAAAAGGCCCTTAGACTAATGTAAGCTTGTAATATCTGTAGAACAAACAAAAGACCAGTGTGGATGGAAAAATAGAGACAAAAAAGTGGGAGGGGGCAGGGAGCTGGGTAATCAAATGACATCAGAAAGCAAGGAGAGACCAAATTGGCCCAAGGAGGCTATCCCTTAAGTTTGGGCTGAATGTGGAGTTTCCCATGCATTGGAGTTGGTAGATTAGTTATGTATGGTGGAACTGTGGGTATGTATATTAGGGGACGTGGGGAGCTATCTTGTCTCCTTCTCCATGAAGCTGCTCACATGTGCCCTCTCTCCCTGCAGCCTCCTGAGTGATGCCAGCCCAATGGTTCCTAATCTCCAGACTGGCCCTGTTGGTACTGCTGGGCACAGTCAGAGCAGGCCCTTTCTCTCCACGGTCCAATGTGACACTCCCAGCCCCTCGGCCTCCTCCCCAGCCAGGGGGCCGCACAGTGGAGCCCGTTGGCGGAAGCCCCTCTTCTCGGCTTTATGAACACACCGTGGAAGGAGGGGAGAAGCAGGTGGTTTTTACCCACCGAATCAACCTGCCACCTTCAGCCGGCTGTGGTTGTCCCCCGGGCACGGAGCCCCCTGTTCCTGCTTCAGAGGTACAGGCCTTGAAGGTCCGGCTAGAGATCCTGGAGGAGCTGGTGAAGGGGCTCAAGGAACAGTGCGCTGGGGGATGTTGTCCCGCTGCAGCCCAGGCTGGCACAGGTGGGTAGATGAGGGGAGAGGGCACCAAAAAAGAGGAAGGTGGAGAAGTGGTTCAGGTTTAGGTGGGCATCACTAGTCCATAAAGGACCTTGGTATGAATTAGAAAAAGCATCTCTTCTTTCCCTTTGGGGGTGGAGAGTGCAGCCCCCAAACTCAGAGAGAGAAGTCACTAGGCTCTGTGTCAGCACTTCCCTCCCCTGTCCCCAAGCATATGCTAGGGCCTTGGGAGGCCACACATATTGACTAGAAGTACCTAGAAACAAAGATGACCTTATGAAATGAGCCCAGCCTTGCTGGAGGGGCTCACACAGGGGAGTACCGCATGGGCTTCTTCCCCCTCCCCAGAGAGACTGAGTCCTGCTTCTCCCTCTTACTCCAGGCCAGACAGATGTCCGCAGCCTCTGCAGTCTCCACGGCGTGTTTGACCTGAGCCGCTGTGCCTGCTCCTGCGAGCCAGGCTGGGGTGGGCCCACCTGCTCAGACCCCACAGGCGCTGGGGTGCCCCCCTCCACCCCACCCTCAGTCTCCGGGTCCTGCCCAGACGACTG